TCTGTGCAGCCCCTCCCCGCTGCACAGGGTGGCACCCTCCTCTCCGTACAAAAATGGTGCCTCCCATTTGGTATATGTACATGAATGTGAAATACACACATTCTATGTTTTACCTTTACAAACACATATTTGCGCAGCCCTTCTCACTCTCCACACCCTCCTCTCCACGGTGTGCGCCCTCCGTGGCACCCTCCTCTCCACGGCGTGCAAACTATTGCACTGCCAGTGGCGGGCTATATGTATAGCCCTGCCCCAGTGAGAATGTTGGGCGCCCTGCTGAGTTGAATCTTTGGCGGGCCGCCTGTCGAAGCAGCGCGTACCACTCAGCAAGCGAGTCAGTAAGTGGTGCCAGCCTACATCGATTTTGAACATTTGTAGCGAGGTATCGAACAACACAAACAAGAAAATTGCCTGTCAATCTGAGAAGATCATTTTGGATGTTTTGACTGGATTTGGAATAAGCGCCGGCCACCATTTTTCAGCGCCTAATGGGGATCACTGTGCACAACCCTTCAGGTGTGGCACGGTGAATACAACAACATGCAATGCGAGAAGCCTCAACCCATACCTGATTCTCCATGGGCCGACACGAAGAGTGTTTCACATCCACATCATCCCAAACAGACACCAGGCTGAACACGGTGGCCTCAAACTTCACGAAGCGCTTGACCTGGCAAATCCTGCCTAATGAAGTACCGTCCATGATCTCCACCACGTCTCCAACAGCAACAGACCGCTTTCCAAGACCAAAGGTTACAGATCTTCCCATGGTCAACCCTGGTGCCACCAACAATTGATGGGCCTTGCAAAAGGCTGCGTGCAACTCACCTGACGCTTCCTTACCCTTTACGAGGTCCAACTCGCCATCCCCGTTGTACTGTTCCAAATCCATGGTGTGGGACAGAGTCACTTCCTGCAACACCGAGCGCTCCACCCCAGGGACACCAGTCGCAGTCTGATTAGCGTACCGTTTGAGTTCCTTATGCCGCCTTTCTTGCACAAAGCAAGAAGGCAAGAAACCATGCTTTTCCAGCGACCATGGTAGATGCAATGCAAAATGAGCCTTTGGAGGCAAGAAGTCCTTGCCGTACACCTCAGAAAAGTGCATGAAATGCAGGGTGATGGCATTCTGAAGGCTGCGTGGAGCAACTCTCCCTGCATTTGCAGCCAACAGTAGAAGGTCTATCACTCCACACAAATGCTGAAAAACTTTGCGCGCTGCTGCCACTTTCTCAGTGACTCGTCTCGGATCCAGACACCTCAAGAATTCCAGCAGTACCGGGTACAGCGACAAACCCTCAGACGCACTGCTTTTGAACTTGTCCTTGGAAAGGTCGACCTTTTTCTCCAAAACTCTGGTGGCATCGACTGCACGCCCTCCTATCCAACTAGGCCACACAAAGGTGCTGACATATTGGTGGACCTCTTCTTGGCGAATACCTGCCCCTGCTAGCGCCCCAAGAAGCAATGTCACCTGGAATCAGCGGGCACCAACAAAAGGCTATGCCCTGCTTTGGCGAGCA